CTACAGGTTCCTGTTATTTGATGTTGGGTGGTGTCACCCATTAACTGGTACAAAGCATATGTACCTTAGAGCAAGGAGTGTCGGGCTCTTAATAAGGTGAGCACCATCCATATTATATTTTATTTATAGACGATGTTATTGACGTTCTGCACTATCCGTTCTTTTGTCTTCATGAGGGTGACAATCCTGAGTGAAGAAAGGTGGAGTGCTACCTAAAAGGCACATGTGCGCGTTTAGTGAGACTTTTTTAGACTCCACTACTTGTGAGTGTAACCATTATTACCTGCTTCTTTGCACTTTAAATTGTAACATTTACACTGTATGTCGTTTTGTCTGGTTTTTATTTATATGTTACTGATCATTGTACTGTAGATTCTGTTCTTTGAAATCTCATGTGTGTTAGAGAGTAAAATACCCCCTGCTCTTTATTTCTACTGCTCCACTATTCTATATGCGTTTCACTTACACAGACCTCTATAAGTTTTACACTTATATTATATTTTTATGAATTAGCTAATGAAGATCAGGAAAATGCAGACATTTTAAATAACAATTTTTCCTCAGTATATATTAAAGGACCACTCTAGGCACCCAGACCACTTCAGCTTAATGAAGTGGTCTGGGTGCCAGGTCCAGCTACGGTTAACCCATTTTTAAATAAACATAGCAGTTTCAGAGAAACTGCTATGTTTATTAATGGGTTAAGCCTTCCCCCAAATCCTCTAGTGGCTGTCTCATTGACAGCCACTAGAGGTGCTTGCGTGCTTCTCACTGTGATTTTCACAGTGAGAGCACGCCAGCGTCCATAGGAAAACATTGTAAATGCTTTCCTATGCGACCGGCTGAATGCGCGCACAGCTCTTGCCGCGCGTGCGCATTTAGCCCAGGAGGCGGAACGGAGGAGGATCGGAGGAGGAGAGCTCCCCGCCCAGCACTGGAGAAAGGTAAGTTTAAACCCCTTTCCCCTTTCCAGAGCAGGGCGGGAGGGGGTCCCTGAGGGTGGGAGCACCCTCAGGGCACTATAGTGCCAGGAAAACGAGTATGTTTTCCTGGCACTATAGTGGTCCTTTAAGGAGGATCTTATGGCAAGAGATATTTTATTTATTTATTTATAAAATATTTTACCAGGAAAGATACATTGAGATTTCTCTCGTTTTCAAGTATGTCCTGGGTCCACAAAACATTACATTGATACAACAGAGTACAATAAAATACAAAAACAATATTAATACACAATATACACAAAATTTAACATAGAATAGGTAGGAAATATTTAATCAACCATAACACGTGCATTCTGTTTTGAGGAATGTAGATCTCTTAAAGGACTTTAGGCTTACGGAAGATTTGAAATTGTGTGGGAGGTCGTTCCACAATTGCGGTGCTATGTAGGAGAAGGAGGATTGGGCTGCTTTCTTTTTGTATTGAGGTAGACTAAATAAAGTGCTGGTACTGGATCGGAGGTTATAGGAGGTGGAAACAGCAGAGGAGAGCATTTTGCTCAGGTAGGGCACGAGTTTCCCAGAAAAGCTCTTAAACACAAGGCTGGAAAGATGAAGGGTGCATCTGGATTCCAGCGACAGACAGTTTAGTTCTTTAAGCATGTCACAATGGTGGGTCCTGTAATTACATTGTAGCACAAATCGGCAGAATGAGTTATACAATCTATTGAGTTTCCTAATGTAGGATTGCGGTGCAGATGCATATACTACATCCCCCTAATCAATAATTGGCATCAGCATTTGCTGTACAATCTTTTCCTTTACTGTAGGACTTAGGCAAGATTTGTTTCTGTACAGGGCACCTAGTTTTGGATAAAGTTTAGATGCAACTTTTTCTATGTGGAGGCCAAAAGATAGATTGGGGTCTAACATCATACCCAAGTATTTGAAAGAGTGGACTGCGTTCAGTGTGTTATTTGAATTTGTTTTGATGGATAGGTGGAAATTGTGTAATTTGTGTAATTTAAGTACTGTTCCAAAGAGCATTTTGACAGTTTTGTCAGTATTTAGGAAGAGTTTGTTTTTTGCGATCCACTTTTCTACCTCTGCAAACTGGTCTTGGAGCACAGCCTCAACTTGCGGTAGATTGGATTTGCTCGCATAGATTACTGTGTCGTCTGCGTACATTTGAGGATTTGCAGACATTAGGCAGATCATTTATAAATAATGTAAATAGTAGGGGGCCGAGAATGGAACCTTGGGGAACACTACACGTGACTGGGAGAGGGAGGGAGTCGCTGTTAGAAATGGACACATACTGCGAATGGTCTGATACATACAATTGAAACCAGGTTAGCGAACAATCACCAATACCTGAATTTTTGAGTTTGTGCAGTAGAATGTTGTGGTCTGTGTCAAAGGCCTTTGCAAAATCAAGGAAAATAGCTCCAGTTAGGTCTCTGTAGCAGTACTTACCCTTTCCAGGGGCCGGACGAGGTCCTCTTTCCCCGCCTCGCGCAGTCCTGCAGAGATCTGGAAGGCGGGCACTGACCGCAAGACACGGCCACGTGACTCTCCTGACACTGGGAGCGCGCTGCGCATATTGAGTGCGCTTTTAAAGGGACAGTGGGAGCTGAAAATCAAAAAGGTCTCCCATTGGGCCATGTCATTCCACATTCCCCATACACTCACATTTTGGGGGCATGGATATGACAGTGGCCAATCAAATTAATCTATAAGGTATTTATACTCACCTTTCCCTTAGCTCCCTGCCCTATTGTGGTTTCTGTTTCAGTTCCCCTTAGTGCTTGCTTTGTGTAGTAGTGTTTTTTTCGTGCTTGACCTTGGCTTTGTTCCTGACTCAGTTTTTCTCTTTACTCCTGCTTTTTCTTGTTCGCCGGTTTCCTGACTCCTGTGTACCAGTCCTTGGTTAGTTCTTGTTTTCGCTGTCTCTCTGTTCCCTTGACCTCGGCTCTTTCTTGACTCTGTCTTTTCCCTGTTTACGTTGAGTCCGGCCATTCTAAGGCCCGGTAAGACGTATCTTGCTATCTTGTCTCTCGGACTAAATCTTGCGTGTTGGGGTATACTACCGTGACATTACGATGGGACCTTGGAACCCACAGGTTTAGGACAGCAGATGGCTACTCATGAGGCTAGATTTGCAGAACAAGATCACCGTATGGATCAGATGGCTCAGGCCATCCAGACACTTTTATCCAGAACGGCTCCGGTATGTGTACCAGCTCCTCCTGTACCCCATGTACCAGATACATCTAATATGCCTAATGCTTCAGCACATCTAACCCCTCCACCTAGTTATGGAGGGGATGCTAAGACAATTCCTTAATCAAGTGGAATTCCACTTTGAGATGTATCCACGTTCATTTCCCACTGATAGATCTAAGGTGGGTTTCCTTATGAACCAACTTACAGATAAAGCACTTGAGTGGGCAAATCCTATTTGGGAGGCTAATGGACCTATGGTACATGATTTCAATAGCTTCCTTACGGCTTTTCGTAGAACCTTTGACACAACTAAAAGGTCAAAGAATGCCGCCAGGGCGTTAATGAGAATTAAGCAAGGATCTAAGTCTGTCGCTGATTATGCTATTCAGTTCTGTACCCTTGCTTCACAGGTAAATTGGACCAACAATGGGCTAACTACTGCGTTCATGGAAGATCTATCTGAAACTATATTGGATAAGGTAGCAGCTAGGGATCTTCCTGTACCCTTAGAAGACCTTATCGACTATCTCATCGATATAGATAATAGGATTCGTGACAGGCTATATACCAAGACTAGGAATAGACGCTTTGTTACATTTAATACACCTAGAGCTGAAACTCCTGAGGGTTCCAAAGGATCAGAGGAGGCACCCATGCAGTTAGGGGTTGCAAAACTCACTGATGCTGAGAAACTGTATAGGAGAAAAAAGGGACTTTGCCTTTATTGTGGTAGGAAGGGCCATATGTGACAAGAATGTCCTGTGCATCCGGAAAACTATCGCACCTAAGACCGAATAGGGGGACAGGCCTTGGGTGTGACATCAGAGTCCCCACATTTGCCTTTTAATAGATTGCTTCTCCCTGTTTCCCTGCATCTTGAGAAAAACAGCATATACTAGCCCTGGTTGATTCCGGTGCGGCCAAGAACTTTATAGATTCCGGCTTTGTTAGAGAAAACAACATACCCACTAGAGAGAAGAAGACACCCTTAGCCGTTGAGGCCATAGATGGTAGACCATTATGCTCCCCAGTTATCAGACATGAAACTGAACCATTGCATATGTCTACAGGGTTGTTACACATAGTACAAATAGTATCTTGGAGTGATGCTTGCCAAGCGTCTTGTATTTTTAAAATCACCCCTTTGAATTCTATTAACGTTCCTACTATACCTCCTGTGTCTACTATTATACCACCTCAGTACATGTCTCTTAAGTCTGTTTTCGATAAAAGGGAGGCTGAAAACCTCACAGACCCTATGACTGTGCTATTAATCTGCTACCTGGCGCTATGCCTCCAAAAGGGAGAGTGTATCCTTTGTCTCCTCAAGTAAATCTTGTTATGGAGGAATATATCAAAGAATCTTTACAAAAGGGATTTACAAGGAAATCCTCTTCTCTGGCAGGGGCTTGTTTCTTCTTTGTATCAAAGAAGGAAGGCGATTTAAGACCTTGTATCGACTATAGGGGCCTAAATAAAATCACCATAAAAAATGCGTACCCTATACCTTTAATCACGGAATTATTTGACAGGCTTAACCCCTTAAGGACACATGACATGAGTGACATGTCATGATTCCCTTTTATTCCAGAAGTTTGGTTCTTAAGGGGTTAAACAAGCTACTGTGTTTACTAAACTGGACCTTAGGGGTGCATACAATCTCATACGTATCAAAAAGGACCATGAATGGAAGACCGTATTCAATACTAGGAGTGGTCATTACTAGTGATGTCCCGAACGGTTCGCCGAACGGTTCGCCACGAACGGTTCGCCACGAACGGTTCGCCACGGACTCATCATTGAGTAAACTTTGACCCTGTACCTCACAGTCAGCAGACACATTCCAGCCAATCAGCAGCAGACCCTCCCTCCCAGACCCTCCCACCTCCTGGACAGCTCACTAAGAATGCAGCTTCACAATGAATGTAAAATGGATGCTGTCCAGGAGGTGGGAAGGTCTGGGAGGGAGGGTCTGCTGCTGATTGGTTGGAATGTGTCTGCTGACTGTGAGGTACAGGGTCAAAGTTTACTTAATGATGAGTGTAGCGGAGATGCAATATTCCCCAGGTTGTCTCCGCTTATAATCCAAGTGAGGCTCAGGAACAAGTAAATAATAAATCCATAGGCAAAGTTTCCAGCAGGTAAAATAACAGCAACCTCCCCCACAGCAATCCCAATAACTGGACGACACACAGTTTCAGGAGCAGAACTGACAAGCCTTTAATCACAGTCTCCTTATAAAGCATGCTCCCCTGCAAGGGAGGGATTACAGTAATTATTACAGTAGCCAATCCTGTCCTGGTAACCTCCCACACATCTCCTCCCCTCAGCCAGCATCATAATCCCCTTATCCAGTACACCAATTCCCCCCGTTTCTGGATGTACCCCTAAACGTAGGGGTACCTCTTTAAGTCCTACATCCCCTGGTAGCCCTGATCTGGGTGAACAACATATCCAAAAACCACCCAGATCAGACCAGGGGTTCGGGAAAAGTATGGAGGGAATAAAATGACCGACCGCACGAACTGAGATAGCCGAATCCGGTTCCATGTGAATGGGCCCTGCGGTCGGTCCTGGCATAAGGGAATAAAATACACGAAAACCTCTGGCTATAGAGGCTAGGGAGGGTTCGCCTGAATCCCCTCGTTCGGTATTTTCTATCTACCGAACGAGGGGCCGTTCGGTAGTTTGGAACCGAACGGACCAGGGCTGTGGAGGTCTCAGCGGTGTTCGCCTACTCGAGTGTCCGATTTTAGTTCCAGACACTCGACGGCTAAACACCGCTGTTCGGGAGTTTTAAAATGGCCGCCGCCACGTGTTCGTTTGTCGAATGGTGGCCACCCCCAAGAACAAAGGACGGCTACTTACTGTTCAATTATCCGTTCGCAACAATGTTGCAATGGGTAATTGAGGACACACTTCACACAGGGGAGGTCTGGTTGTTCGGTAGTTTCATTCGAATAAACTAAGGGAACGAAACTACCGAACAATCACAAGAATACAAGGCTTTAAAACACATAGGAAACTAACAGATCACACGAATGCATTTATTTCCCAGACATTTGCAGGACAGCCCAGTGCCATCCGCTACACTGCTCCCCCTTGCCCACAAGCCGGCATACACAGTCTGATCCAACACGGATCGGCTTGGGGATGTCCGGGGACTCACGGATCATTTCTCCAGGTCAGTTTGTCTTGACAACCCGTCGGCATTCCCATTCTGTTTACCCGGGCGGTACTGAATATTAAAGTCAAAAGGCTGCAGCGCCAAACTCCAGCGCAGCAGCCTGGCATTGTCCCCAGCCACCCGGTTTAGCCATACCAGCGGGTTGTGATCCGTGAGTAACGAAAAAGGCTGTCCATATAGATACGGCTGTAGTTTCTTTAAGGCCCACACCACAGCCAGGCATTCCTTCTCGATGGCGGCGTAGCTTACTTCTCTGGGTAACAGCTTGCGACTGATGTAAGCCACGGGGTGTTCTCCGCCATCGGCTCCGACTTGGCTCAGTACTGCTCCCAATCCAAACATAGAAGCGTCTGTGTGAACAAGAAAACGTTTAGTTGGATTGGGAGCTGCCAAGACAGGAGCATTTATCAGGGCATTTTTCAGATGTTGGAATGCCTGCTCACACTCCGGGGTCCAGGTCACCTGGCGGGGCAAATTCTTCCGAGTAAGGTCAGTGAGAGGTTTGGCGAGGGCGCTATAGTTAGGGACAAACTTCCTGTAATACCCAGCGGTCCCTAGAAAGGCTAACACCTGGGTTTTAGTCCTAGGAGTGGGCCACTGGGCCACGGCTTCTACCTTGGCTGGTTCGGGCTTCTGTTTGCCGCAACCCACTCTATGTCCGAGGTACTGCACCTCGGCCATCCCTATGCTGCACTTGGCCGGTTTCAATGTCAAACCAGCTTCCTTAATCCTGTCTAGAACCGCTCCTATATGGGCCAAGTGCTCCTGCCACGTATTGCTAAAAATGGCAATATCGTCCAGGTAGGCACAGGTGTAGTCTTGGAACCCATCCAGGAGTCGGTCTACCATCCGCTGGAAAGTAGCTGGGGCGTTTTTCATCCCAAATGGCATGACCTTAAACTGGTACAAGCCAAATGGGGTGACAAAGGCCGATTTCGGGATGGCCTCTGGGGCCAGGGGGATTTGCCAATACCCCTTACATAAGTCAATGGTAGTGAGGTATTGACCCCTGGCCATTCTGTCCAGTAGTTCATCTATCCGTGGCATAGGGTATGCATCGGACACCGTTTTCTCGTTTAATCTCCGGTAGTCTACGCAGAAGCGGGTCGTACCATCCCGCTTCGGTACGAGTACTACCGGAGAAGCCCAGGGACTATCTGAGGGCTCAATCACCCCCAGTTGGAGCATCTCCTCGATCTCCTTGCGCATGTTTTCCCTTACCGCTTCGGGGATGCGGTAGGGGGTCTGACGCATCGGTAATTGCCCTGGGGTCTCTACCCGGTGAGTGACCAGAGGGGTGTACCCAGGTACGTTAGAGAACGTGTCTCGTTTCTCTTCCAACAGCTGCCGTACCTCGATGCGCTCCTGTGGGCTCAGCCGGTCTCCCAGTGTGACTTCCCCTAAATCCCCAGACAGCTGCCCATCTTCCAGCAGATCTGGGAGTGGTAAGCTGTCAGACTCATCTGAATTGGGCGCGCATATGGCGGTTACCTCCTCGGAGCGCGCTTGGTAGGGCTTCATCATGTTCACATGGAGCATGCGTCGCCCTCCCGTCCCTGTACAGGAGCCAATTATATAGGTGGTGTCACATCTCTGTTCCACCACCCTATAAGGTCCCTGCCAGGCGGCCTGTAGCTTGTCATGTCGGACAGGCTTTAAAATCAGCACTTTCTGCCCGACCTGAAAGCTACGGTCCCTGGCTCCCCGGTCATACCATGTGCGCTGGCGAGTCTGTGCCGCCTGAAGGTTTTCCCTTACCGTCCTGGTTAAGGCTTCCAGGCGGTCTCGGAGAGCCAACACATAAGGTATGATGGGGGTGCCATCTGCGCTCCGGTCTCCCTCCCAATGCTCTCTTATAAGATCTAGGGGGCCTCTGACCCTCCTCCCAAACAGCAGTTCAAACGGGGAGAACCCCGTGGATTCCTGCGGCACCTCCCGGTAAGCGAATAGGAGATGCGGCAGGAACCGCTCCCAGTCCTTGTGGGTCTCTGCGAAGGTTCGGAGCATTTGTTTCAATGTGCCATTGAACCGTTCGCAGAGCCCGTTAGTCTGGGGGTGGTAAGGGGCACTGATAATAGGCTTAATGCCACAGATCCTCCAGAGGTGTTGGGTGAATTCTGCGGTAAATTGGGTACCCTGATCCGAGATAATCTCCCTGGGTAATCCCAACCGGGAGAATATCTGCATGAGGGCATCCGCGACCGTTTCAGCCTGAATGTTGGTCAGAGCCACCGCCTCTGGATATCTGGTAGCATAGTCTACGACCGTTAAAATGTACCTTTTGCCTGACGGGCTGGCTTTCTTGAGGGGACCTATCAAGTCTACCGCTATTCTGCTAAACGGTTCCTCAATTATTGGCAAGGGGTGTAGCTTCGCCTTCCTCCGGTCTCCCCTTTTCCCTACCCTCTGGCAGGTGTCGCAGGTGGTGCAATACCGGCGCACTTCCTGGCTGATCCCTGGCCAGAAGAAATTTTGGGTCAGTCAATACCTAGTACGGCTGACCCCTAGATGTCCGGATAGCGGTATATCGTGTGCTATCCGGAGTAGCTCTGCTCGGTACCGCTGCGGCACCACTAGCTGCCTCGTCACTATTGGGTCTGACCCCTCAATCTGCTTGTCTGTCTCCCTGTACAAAAGCTGCTTGTCCCAGACAAATCTCTCCCCCTCTCCCCCCGGAGGGTCTGCTGTCACCTTGTCTCTGTATACCTGCAAGGTGGGGTCAGTCACTACCTCTGCTGTGAATTCGTTAGGAGGGGCCCAGGGGACACAGTCAAGGGAAGGGGAAGGGTCTCTTACCTGAACCTCCGGAAGTGTGTTGTAGTCCTGGGTGCGGGCCTGTTGACGGGTGACCACAGGATGAGCTTCTCCTGTGGTGGACGTCTGGGGCTCAAAAGCAGATGTGAGCCTCCCCAGATCGTTTCCCAATAAAACCTCCGCCGGTAACTGCGGCATCAACCCCACCTCCACATGTCCTGCCCCCCGCTCCCCAATGTAAATGTACCCTTGCTGTAGGTAGCCGGTACACTGCTCCCCCGGCTACCCTGACGGCCACAGTTTTACTTAGTCTCGCTTCATCCGAGACCAGATGACTTTTGACCAAGGTGATGGTAGCCCCCGAATCACGTAGGCCCTGTACTGCTTTACCCTCCAAGTATACGGTCTGCCTGTGATGCTGTCTGTTATCAGCATTGGCCTGGACTGGATCCGCCTCGTTTAGTACTTCCCACTGTTCCACGGTTGTTATGGGAACAGCTGACCCATATGGTGTGGCCACTATATTTTGGTAGTGATGGGCGGCGGCTGCTCTCGGTGGTGGTGGTGGGCCGGGGCGAATCCAGGTAGAACGATCCCTCAGCTGGGGACATTCCCTTTTATAATGTCCCCACTTCTGGCAGTGATGACAGGGGCCAGAAGCGGGCTGGCGAAACCGGGGCTGTACAGTGGTGGTGGTGGTGGTAGTTGCCTCGGTGGAGCTGGGTTGTAGCTGTTTCCCCCAAAGGTTTTAAAAATAGCTTTTGGGGCTGCTGGTTTCTGCTGCCTGCGTGCATCCAAGTACTCATCGGCCTTCCTAGCAGCTTCGGTAAGGGAGGTAGGGGTTCTGTCCCTCACCCATTCCTGGACCTCGCCTGTTACCCCCTCATAGAATTGCTCCAACAACACCATTTGCAATAAGTCCTCCATGGACCGAGCCTTATTAGACTGTACCCACCCCAGAGCGGCCCGACGCAACTTGCAAGCCCATTCCACATGGGAGTCCTTGTCATTTCTCTTTAGGTCTCTAAACCGTCGCCGATATGCCTCTGGCGTGATTGCATATCGGGCCAGGATCACTTCTTTTACTCGGCGGTAATTCCGAATTTCCTCATCAGGTACAGTTCTATAGGCTTCCGCCGCCTTCCCTGTGAGCTTCCCTGCTAAAATAGGCACCCACTCATCTGGGCTAATATTATGCAAGGCACACAGCCTTTCAAAGTCTTGGAGAAAAGCATCTATATCTTCCTCTGCTTCTATATACGCTTTAAAGGCTTGGTAAGGAATTTTTGTCTTACCCTGTGTGATGGTAGTT